GGCTGGGGATTCGAACCCGCCACCTTAGGTGTACGTGGCTGGCGCCTTAGCCGGTTGAGCTATAGGCGCCGAGCCAAGGAAGTAAACCCGGTTTTATAACAATATTTATGTAAATATAAACATGGGCATTTCAAAAGATTTTGAAAGTACAGAAATAAGCATTTCTGTACATTGAAAAGTACAGAAATAAGAAATTATTCCTAGGGTATAGGGCGTATGTTTGCCATTTATTTCTACCAGGTAGTTCCTTCTTTTCTGAAAAACTCACAAGCCTCATGGATGAGGCTTTCCCAAAGATAAAACACCTTCTCCGAAATGAAAGTCAAGGGAATAGGAAGCAAGCTGGCTGCTACAGATCAGTGGTTAGCATGCCCTCCCCGCACACCAACCATAGCGGGTTCCTGCCTAACGTAGGCCTGATGAACAACAACAAAAAATTCCAAGGAAATAGGAAGCAGTGAAAAGCTACTTAAATAGTAGGAGAAAGGGCTCTTGTTCCAATGGTAGGTGATAAAAACGCGAGGCAAAACTGTCCCTCATCGCCGATTGGATTCCGCGCGTGCGCAGACACGCGCACACGCACAAACGGACATGTGTCCCCCCCCCCGTAGGGTAGCATTGTACAGTGCACATTTATGAACCGATGGGGACCCTCTGGCCAGTCATGTGAGGATCTGCGCCAAATAGCTAATTTATAAATAAGCTACAACGTAGCTATTTGGCACACCTGGCCTAGCCCAGAAGCTCTGAAACTTGAGCGCCCATCAGAATCCCCATTAGGACTTAACGGAAACCCCCACAAGTTTCCGATTCACGGAGTCCTGGGGGTGGAGGGTGAGAACAAGTTTCTAACAAGTTTCCAGAAATGCGGGTGCTGCTGGTCCGGAGATCCCACTTTCTCTGGGAACGACTGGCCCAGCGTCTGGGTTAGCAAATGGCGGGCACCTGGAGCCTGCAAGGTGCATGAAGCCCTGGGCCTCCTTAATCAATGGATGGAAATATCCTCCTCTGGGCCTTGGGCTCCGGGCGTACCTTGCTGGCTCCCTCAATCTGGCAACTTGCCAAACAGGAAAACTGCAGGGAACTAACTAACGTGCAGTAAACCAACGTGGACGCACACACCCTGGCCGAGTATAAATGGAATTATAGACGCGATGTCGGAGGAGAGCTCGCAGTTTAGACTTCAGAAGGATTTCAGATTCAAAGAGGAAACAAAACCGCCACAGCGACAGCAGCTGCAGCGACAGGGGCGGGAGCAGGGAGCAGGTTTCCCGCAGAGCGGGCTGCACGCCCGCTGCTTTCCAGCTGCACGCCCGCCTCTGCGGCGTTTTTTTCAGACCCAAAGGGCGGGAGGAGAGGCCATATATTTAGGGGCGGGGTGAGGGAGCGTGAGGCTTTTTGCTGTTTCTGGAGCAACACTGTCACCAAGAGGAACCTGTAATGATTAAGCCAGGTGGATAAACAAGATAAGCCTGCAAAGCTAGAAAAGAGAAACCGTGAAAAAGGGCCAGAGGCCACTGGGTGTGGCGGCACCTGTAGTCCCAACTACTGAGAGGCTGAGGCAAGGGAATTGCTTGAGGCCAAGAGTTTGAGGTTGCTGTGAGCTATGACCCCATAGCACTCTACCCAGGGCTACAGAGTGAGATGTCATCTCTTATAAAAAGAAAAAAAAAAATAAAGAAAGAAAAGAAAAACCCAGAAGCCAACTTGAAGACTATCCCTACAGATTTAAATGGGACAATTTTAAGCACTATGAACGTAGTTGGCTTCAAATCACAGTTCTCCCACTTAATCATTGTGTTACCTTGGGCAAGTTACTCAACCTCTCTGTAATTCATCTGTGTAATGGGGATAATAGTACCTACTTCAGGCAGGTGTTAATGAATTCATATGGGGAAAGTATTCAGAGCATGTCTGCCTGGCTCCAGGAAACTCTTTGCAGTTCTGCCAGAAATTACATATTAGATATTTGCCTACCCACCCAAAACTTATTGGTTTGTCAAGACATTGCTTAATTCTGGCTTTCCACAATTTAAGACAGAATGGCTACAGTGTGGGCCTCAGTCATGCTCTCAATATAGGCACAGAACACTATAGCTTTTGCCTCCATAAAATTATTTCCCTGGCATGGAAAATTTCAAACATATAGAAAAGTAGAAAGAACAGTATAATAAAAAGTATTCATCACCCAATTCAATGTTTATCAATCTGCAGCTAATGGTTTTTTTTTTTTTCTATGTCCTCTACCTTCTTCCCCATCCCCACTAAATTATTTTGTTTGTTTGTTTCATTGATTTTAGAGACAGGGTCTCACTCTACTGCCCAGACATAAGTGCAGTGGTTCTATCACAGCTCATTGCAACCTTGAATTACAGGCCTCAAATGATGCTTCTTCCTGGGCCTCTCAAAGTGCTGAGATTATAGGTGTGAGCCATGGCACTGACCTTTCCCACTGGATTTTTTTTTTTTTT